TACTAAAGCAAAATGTAACCAGAAAAAGATCCCTGAAAGTTAGGGGGTCCAAAGCAAAATAGTAATTCCAAAACACTGTTGGAATAGGGGTTAAAGGGTCACTAATAGGTGCTCTCTTTGGAAACAAATCTTGCTGGAGAGAAGCCAAGATGAGTAGGTGCTACCAGCTGTGGCCTCACTTACAGCACTGTCATCTTGGTTTGCGGATCCCTTCACAGACAGAGTCTTCAGTGTAGTCTGACCTGGGTTTGGTCCTTTCGGTGCATTCTTTTCTCTTGTGGGGCATAGTCACGGTTATTGCTGCAAACGGAAAACTTTAGTGGGCACTGCGGCGCATACACTCAGACCTTGTCAGTGTTAGGAAATGCCTGTTCTCAGGGCAGCTTTGCAGATGTAGCTCTACTTGGGTTTTGTAAATCATTGCTCATCTTCATCTTATTTTTATTTCTCTTCTGATGCACAAGTCAACATGTTGAATTCATTCTAACTAACTCGTGCATGTAGACTGGGAGATTAGATTACTAGGCGTATGTTTTAAGTAAATTATGTAAAATTAGCTAAGTAAAGAGCTAAGGCATTCAGCCACTTCTTCAACATTAAACAAGTATGTGATTAATGTTGAACAGAGATTTTTATTCGAGGCCCTGGAGAAAAAGCATGTTTTTCAAAAGATGTTTCTATGACACTTGACATCCAATATTATATTAGTTTCATGTGTGCAGCATAGTGATTAGTCACTTATATAACTTAGGAAGTGATCCCCCTGATAAGTCTTGCACCCGCCTGTTATTGCAATATTGTGGACTGTGTTCCCTAACCTGCACTTTACACCCAGTGATGTTTTTGTAACTGCCATTTTGTACCTTTTAGTCCCTTTGCCTTCTTCCCCCAGCCCCACAGCTCCACTCCGATCTGGCCACCAGCAGTGTATTCTCTGTATCTGTGAGTTTGTTTCTGCTTGCTTTGTTCATTTATTTTGTGTTTTAGATTCCACATATATGTGAAATTACATGGCATTTGTGTTTCTCTGACTTACTTCATTTAGCATAATACCCTCTACATCCACCCATGTTGTCTCAAATGATGAGATTTGGCCAAGTAATACTTTTTATTCCATTGTACATAAATGTACCACCTCTTCTTTACCAATTCATCTTTTTATTGGAACATTTAATTTGTTTATATTTAAAGTAAGTATTGATAGGTATTGCCATTTTATTAATTGTTTTCTGAAGGTTTTTGTAGTTCTCTGTTCCTCTTCTCTTGTTCTCCTCTCTTACATGTTGATGGCTTTTTATCATGTTGCATTTGGATTTCTTTTCTTTATTTCTTGTAGATTTCTGATTTGTCATTACATGTCCTTCATAAATACCAAGCTGTGTCTATTTTAAGTTGATGGTTACCTAAGTTTGAATATATTCTAAAATCACTACTATTTTCACTCACCCCTTCCACATTTGTTTCTTGTCACTGTATTTTACTTTTTTTGTGTTTGTGTGCATCCTTTAATTTACTGTTGTAACTACACACTGATGCAGATCCTGACATGCAATCTTCCTATTTTTGCCTTTTAACCTGTGTACTAGCTTTAGTTTTGGTTGATCCACTGCTTTTATGATGTTTGCCTTAGTAAGAATTTTTTCTTTACAATATTTTCTTATTTATATTTTTTATTTTTTCTTCTTATTAGAGTAGTCCCTTTAATATTTCTTGTAATACTGATTTGGAGATAATGAGCTCCTTTAGTTTTTTTCTTGTCTGGGAAGCTCTTTTCTCTCCATATATTCTAAACGATAGCTCTGCTGGGTAGTCTTGGGTGTAGGTCTTTCCTTTTCATCAGCATGTTCACTTTTTAAAGAGTCTGTGAGTTGGTGGATTTTTGAATTTTTAGTATTTTAAAAATAGTTTTCAAGAAAATTTTAAAATAAGGAAACATACAAAGAATAACATAATGGCCATATTCATACCACCTGGAATTATCTCTTCACATTTTATCAAGTATTCTTTAAGAGTTTTTCATATAAAAAGTCATTATACATAAAAATTTAATTGTATTATTATACATACTACCTCTCAAAGTTATTCTCTTCTTCTGTCTTTCTAGTAATAACCTCTATTGTGCAACTAATGAGGACCTTTCCAGTCTGTATGTAAATGTAGATAGATGTTTATATGTGTCTTTACACAGACATGCAGGCATCTGTGAACAATACTGTGTTGTGGGTACCATTTAAAGACACACAGTATAGCATGTTGCATGCACAGTACAATAGAAGGCACCATGCATTGAGTGATTGTGCTGTGCTTGGAGCTGTAGTATTTCCATCCTTTCAATGACTGACTGTATCTAGCAGGCACTGTTGTTATCACCTCTTTTAGGAAATCAAGGGAACAGAGAGGTCACTTGCCCAGGGTGAAATGGCTAGTAAGTGGTGGTGCTCAGAGTCTATCCCGTAGCCAGGCTCTGACCCAGGAGAACTTGACCATTGTGCTGCATGACCTCTTCACTGTATCACTCTGCAGAATTCTTCACTCGCAGTATCATGTTTCTGATATCTGTACTTGATTTTTAAATTAAATTTATTGACGTGACATTGAGTTACTAAGAGTACATACGTTTCAAGTGTACAATTCTTTGATATATCGTCTGTATGTTATATTGTGTGCGCACTGCCCAAAGTCGTATCTTCTTCCGTCACCATATACTTGGGCCCTTTATTCTTTACTATCCTGCCCCCTCCCCTGTAGTAACCACTGCTGTTGTCTGTGTCTGTGAGTTTTGTTTTGTTTGTCTTTTTTGTCTGTTTATTTGTGCTTTCAGTTTTATATCCCATGTATGAGCAAAATTATACGGTCCTTAACTTTGTCTTTCGGACTAATTTTGCTTAGCATGACACTCTCAAGACCCATCCACATTGTTGCAAATGGCAGTGGTTCGTCTTTTCTTATGGCTGAGTAGTATTCCATTGCATATATGGGGTGGGCAAAAGTAGGTTAAATTACCAGCTATTATTACCCATAAGATATGAAATAATAACAATAATTATAATAAGAAGAAGACAAATAAAACAAGAATAAACTGTGTGTTTTGCATACCCATAACTGTAAGACTGCTTTTGCCTACTCTTGCATGTGCCACATCTTTATCCAGACACCTAACAAAGGACACTTTGGTTGTTTGCATGTCTTACCCACCATGAATAATGCTGCCATGAACATAGGGGAGCATCTATCTTTGCAAATAAATGTTTTCAAATTTTTTGGATAGATACCCAGAAGAGGGTTTGCTAGATCATATGGTATTTCTATCCTTAACCCTTTGAGGAGCCTCCACAGTTTTTAATAGTGACTGAAAACCTAAACACATTTCTTCCGTGTAATTGTTGATAAAACACTCAACCAATAAAAATAGATCTACCTAGTTTACAGTTATTCCATATTCCATTAAATGAATATAATTTTTTAAAAGCTGTATTGTCTGGTGGTTCAGATCTATGAAATAGGAATAGTGAAAGTTCCTATTTTACAAGGTTGTCATGAGAAATAAATGGTTTAATTCAAATAAAGCAGGTAGAACAGTACCTGGCATGGACTAAGCACCCAATAAGTGTTAGCTATTATTTACTATTGGCATCTATCCATTACCCTGTAGAACCTAATGGTTAGGTTTCCAGTTTTCCTTACTGCATGTATCACTACAATGAAAGCCCTGTGTCTGTGTATAAAAGTTTCTTTGGGTATCTCCCTAGAAGAGAAATTGATGGCTCATAGGGTATGCATGTTTGCAATCTTTCTTGATTTTGCCAAAGGCAGCTGTACCAGTTTATACTCCCTAGTGCAGTTTCTCCACTCCCGTTCCCTTACATCCTCAGGAACAGGAGTGACTCCCACTCTCCCCTGTCCCCTTTCTGTCTCTGGATTCTCCTGTTCTGGACATTTCATATAAATGGAATCATATAATATGTGGATTTTTGTAACTGGCTGCTTTCACTTAATGTTTTTGAGGTGCAACTACTTTGTAGCATGAATCAGCATCTCATTCCTTTTTATGGGCCACTAATAGTTCATTATGTGGATATACGACATTTTGTGTATCATATTTGAGCTGATGGAAATTTGGGTTGTTTCTACTCTTGACTATTTGAATAATGCTTCTATAAACATTCATATGCAGATTTTTGTATGGACAGATATTTTTACTTCCTTGCTTATTACATATATTTATATACCTAGCAGTGGGATTGTGGCATCATATGGCAACTATGTGTAACACTTTGAGAAGCTGCCCAAGTGACCGCACCACTCTGCATTCCCACGAGCAGCATGTCAGGGCTCCCATCTCTCTAAGTCTCGGTCTCCAGCACTTGGTATTGTCCTTTTTGATTCTAGCCATTCTAGTGCAAAGGTACCTATCTCATGGTTTTGATTTACATTTTCTTGATGACTAATGATATTGAGCCTTTTTCATCGACTTATTGGCCATTTGTATGTCTTCTTTGAGAAATGTCTATTCAAATCCTTTGCCTATTTTTTAATTGGGTAATTTATTCTTTGAGTTGTAAGAGTTCTTCATGTATTGTGAATACAAGTCCTTTGTCACACTGTGTCCATGTTGTCTGTTGAGCAGAGGGATCACAAGTCAGACCATTACTGTCCTTGAAGTGTACCTGGGCAGTAACGTGACCACATCCCACTTTCTGTAGATTAGAAGCTCCTGAATGGGTCAGAAAAACACAGACTTTCCACAGTCATCTAGGTGCACCTCTCAGCCAGTGGAGGTAATTCACTTTTGAAAACAGAAGATACACCTTCACACCTAATTAGAGTTTGAATTTAATCATGAAAAGCATTGAAATCATTCCTTCCATTTCCAAACTGTTGATTGGTTAACTCAGCTTCATTTGGATTTCTGTTTAACCTGACCTCTTCCTTTTTCTCTTTCTTCTTTTTTTTCTCCTCTTTCTCTTCTGCCTCTCCCCTCCCTACTCTCTCAATTTCAGATTGAAAATGGCTCAGGAATCAGTCAGCAAGCTGACATCAGAGAAGAAAGTGGAGACAAAGAAAATCAACCCCACAGCCAGTCTGGTGAGATGCATTGTTCAACATAACCTCAAGATTTTTCATTATTAGTGGGGTGCACCCAGGAGTGTGTCTGAATTTCAAGGCTAAAACTCAGGGCCATAGAAGGTAGTATCCAGATTTTCAGTTCCCCTCCCAGAGCAGCAGATGGTAAAAATATATATAGGGGAGGAAGGAGTGAGAAACAAAACACAGCTTCATGTGTTTACCCACTAAAGTCAACAAAAGTCGTTTCCAGATAAAGCAAATTGGGTCACTTGCTGTTTCACACCCTTCGGCACGGCCCCCTCATGCCCTCATGCCGTGATCCCCTATCTCAAATAACCTTGCTCCTGAAATGTTTCAGCATTTCATCCTCATCAGTTTCTTTTCCCTGTCAAAGAAATGGGCAGGGCTTATCCTCTTTTGATAGTTGGAAAAACTGAGATGCAGAAAGATAAAGCCTACATAGTGTCACTGCAGAAATGTGTAACAAAAACCAGGACCACACTCTGAGTCGCAGAGGTTTCTCCCTGTCCTAGAAACTAGCAAGTCCGCTCAGGCTTCCTAGCTATGAGGGCAAGCCGTCCTCTACCGTCATGTTTTCAGAGTGGAACACAATGAATCTCCACCCGTCTGTTACAGACAATAGTCAGAAGGGCTAAATGGTTACTAAGCCAAGGTGTCAGAGTTCAAATCCAAGCTCGGGCACTTACTCCTTGCGAAACTTTAATGAAGTTATTTTGCTTCTCCATCTTTTGTGAAAAGAGGGAAGTCATATTACCTTTGCTTTAGGGTTATGTTAAGGAAGCTGAGAAGAGATATGTAAAGTGCCTAGAACACAATAAGAGCTCAATTGATGTTAGTTCTTTTCCTTGTGATCATGAATCTCTGCAGCTTTGGCTGGCACTGCAGGGGGGACAGCAGTGAGTGGTAAGTGGGACTGTCATTCTCCTCACTTTGATTTTCAGGCCCTGCCTTCCCTGTGCCCTGATCTCCTACCTATACTTAATGTTGTCCTTTTGTGTCACAAGTACCTTTTGCCAGCTGTTTCAAATCCTTTGACAGTCTAAGTGGAGCATATGTTATAAAGTAAGATTACTCCCAATGATTGACTGTGGTGTCTCTCATAACAGCCCCATCAGCAGCTAAATGAATGTTGAGTGAGGAGCACAGGTGAGAAATGGAGAAGTCGGGGCCGTACAGCGTGGTCAGGAGACATAGTGGTCAGGAGACATAGCGGTCAGGGCGCAGAGCCCCTGCCTGAGCGGACACACCCTGTGTGCCCACTGACACTACTGTCATCACACTCGTTTGTGTGATTTCCAGAGACAGTGCACTCAGCCCCGACTTCTATCTCCCTTCTTCATGGGCCTCTCCCTCTTCCACAAGCATCTTTTTTGGGCCTCTATCCTAACTTTTCCAGCCACACCTTACGTCCAGTGGCAAAAAAAATAGACTCAACTCTATAGACCGGCGCTGTTCAGATGGTGCACTGCCAGAATTGTTAAAATATGCAGTACCTGACTATTTAGTCAGGGGCACTGACCTCTTTTCCCTTAGGTTGTCAAATCAGAAAATGACAGCAGCCAACACAATAGCCATCAGGTGTGAGTGAATCAAAGTTATACCTATTTTTATGTCAGATCAGCAAAAACTATATTTTTGGGTGTGACACAGAACTTCAGTAACTCATTTATGTGTGCCAGGAAATGGAGAAGGTTGGAAACCACTGCCGTGGACAAAAGGGCAGCAGTGCTTTTCTTTTATAAGTGATCTTCACTACGGGCAAGCTTCCAACTGTGCTCCTCAGCTTAGAGTCGTTTGTTTTGTTGTTTATTTTCATAGAAATTAGGGAAGAGCTTATAAACTGATTCCTGATTAATTTCTCAAGTCAGGGATGGGATTCAAACTCGGGACAGGTGTTTAAAATCATCCACTTATATTTACATCTAGGCCAACGTAGTAACTCACTGTAGCATCGCACCTCACAGGTCACAAGCAACAGAGAATCCATTCTTAGAGTGATTCTCTCTGCATCTGCTCTTTCCCAAGGAGTGCGCTTCTCTCATTTCTTTTTCAGCCTTCTATTTTCCCACCGCTAAGAGCAGACACACCCATCACTGTGTTTATTCTGTTTACTTCTCCAACGTCCTGGAGACAGTGAGGGTCCGTGTTTCTGTGTGGTGCTCTCCTCTTCTCTTCCGTCCTGCCAGCAGACTGCTGTGTTCTCCCCCATCAGAAGGCTAGCCCCAGGAAGGAAACTCAGGAGGGCAGAGCACAGCACCCAGGGCAAGGCCGGAGCTCCTGCCGCTCTGAGCAGATGAAATCAGGGCATCTTCCAGGTTGATTTTTCCTATCTGGACTCCCCAGAAACTATTTCTTGAGCATTCCCTAAGTCCATTAGTGAGCCAAGGCGAGAGATGGGAGGAGCCTTTGAGTAACACTACAAAGTTAGGACTTTTGTCACAAAACAACAACCTGGAATTGTAAAGGTCAGGGTTTCCAACGGATACACTTGGCTTACTAGTTGGTTATTAATTTTGTCTGCTTGTTGGGGAGTAAGAGTGATAGGTTGGAAGAGGCAGGTAACCGAGGGTTTCAGGAAAGAAGGATAAAGATGGTCTTATTTCTACAGCATATCGTACAACTCCAGAATTCTAGACCAAAGTTTAAGAAACTTATCAAAATTTGAGGAAGATGAAAAATCAGAAAAAGGAATAATAAACTCACTTTCTTCCTCAACTGCAGAAAGAAAGACTGCGTCAGAAGGAAGCCAGCGTGGCCACCAACTAAACGTTGCCGTGAGAACGCCAATGGCAGGACTGGGCACCTGGCTTCCCCTTTGCAACACCAGCGCTGCAGGAGCTTCTGGAAAGATATGTTACTAAACGCTTCTCTTGCTCATCTCTTTGTAAGAGCGTCTGCAGTGGGAACCCCTGCATTCTCCAAGAAGTCCCTGGTTAAGCCACAGAAACCATGAAAAGCTGTTTAAGGCACCGTTGCAGCAGTATTGATAACTGTTTCTTATAGAGGCCCAAAGTTGACTTTGCTGTAAGACCAGAACAAATACCAAGGTTTCCCAAGTTTTTTTTTTTTAAGCGGAGATTTCAAGCTTTCTAACCTACTCTTTATATATGTAAATTTGTGAGAGAAGAAAAGGATATTTTATGACAGTTGACTTGAAGGAGTTCAAGCCTTTACACAATGCTGGTTTGATTATTGATCTTAATTTTGATCCCACTGCATAAAGATTTTGAAGTGTCTTTCTGGCCAAGAATGTTGAAAATTTACCAAAATTATTTTTAAAGAGCTCCAAGACTACGTATTTCCTAGATGAGGGAAATGGTTATTTGTGGTGGTGGTTGTTCATATAATGGAAAGGAGAGAAAATGGGATTGTAGATGGTGGAGAAGGGGTTAAATGACCACGGACTCATCCTGGAAAACAGATTATGACACAGGCCATCAGCCATTAAGCAAGACCCATTCCTTTGTTTTTACATCAATTAATTGTAGTTTCCTGGACCAGCCAGAATTCTCACCCACAAATTCTAGAAGAAACAGCCCTGAGCAGGGTGACAAGCGACCCAATAACAGAGCACATTTCACATTTCAGATCATTCATGAGTAGGCAATGCAGTGTTGATATGCACCTGAGATGCATGCCCTGTTCTGGGCCTGTGTGTGGCGGGACCTCTCCTACTCACCCCAGGAAGCTGTTTCTACGCAAGATGGCAAATGTTACTCGCAGCTTTTTATCATGACCTTGACTGAAAGACATGTGACATAGGGTGAAGCAGGAGGCTGAAAAATTAAGGTCAGAAAAGTTCTTTACATTCAAATGCAAAGAAGGTGATTATATTCATCTTAATCTTGAAATGGAATGTCATGTAAATGCAGCTTTTTCTGATGCTGGGAGCTGACATGACCACAGCCTCTGAGTCACAAGAGAAACGAATCCATCTTGAGAGGGGAGAAAAGAGAGGACTGGGGGTGAATTGATAATAGGATCAAAGAACATCAAGTTTGGGCCTTGAAGGGAGAGGGGTCAGAGCTTTTTCCTCCAGTTGGTGGATGACAGTCTAGATGTGAGCAACAGCCTTAGCACCCATCCCAATGCAGCTGCTGTTGCCCCAGGATCTCCCCAGAATCTCCCCAGAAGCTCTCAACTTGCCAGGTGCCTGGGTTTCTGCCCAGGACATGCCTGCCAATCATCAGCCTCCTCAGGGACCCATAATAGACCCAGCTAATGAAAGTAGTACCATGTCCTCAATATAATGCCCACCTCGAGAAGCAAGAATGCACAATCAGGATCAAACTAAGTCTCTGAAGCCATATTCATACAGGTGCTAACCACCTTTTCTAACAATTCAAAAGAAGGAATGTGGTAACATAGTTGGGTTGCCTTTTTTCTTCCAAGTCCAAATAAAAGGATGAGACACTCAAAGTGGAGAAGCTTATAGGAAACTGACATGACTACAAGAAGTTCCTTGTGAGCAACAAGCTTTTCATATTGTTTTCTTGTATCGTTTCTTCCCTTTCACTTAGCTATGCAGAAAACATAAGGAAAACATGTTTTCTTCAAGGGAAAACAAATTCCACTCCCAGCCCTCCTGGGCTCTGTGGCACGCCCCTGGTATTACTGTGAGAAAGAAAAGAGCCTGTGTTGCCCATGCCTTAGGAATCAACTCTGAGTTCAGTAAGACCAGCAGAGGTTTAGGTCCACGTGGGTCCTTACAGATGTGATGGGAGACAGCTGCCAGTGGGTCTGGGCAGCGTCACCACCGTCCACTTCAGGTCCTGAGGTAGGATGCTCATAAGAATATCACTGAAGATGAGCAGGACTGTCACTTTGGCCACATAACCCTGCAAGAACATGCTCTCACAGACCCAATACTAAAGAAGAATGAGTGGGAACATTGAGTTTGAGGGTCAAACGCGGCCCACGGTTAGGGTTTCATCCTCACAGACAGGCTAGAAATTGGCAGTAAGGTACTCATTTCTAAAGAGCAAAGTTTGCCTGGCTGTGTTGGAGAAAGACAGTGATTTCATAATATTAGTCAAACGTAGTCTGTTAGTGCACTAAGACACCAGGGCAGGATCCCCATTATTTTCACCCTGCTTCAATCCTGTGTTCTGTATCTGGCTGCCCCCTCCCTCATCCACACTCACAGTGCACTGTCGGACACCACCTTCATTTCTAGCTTCAGTAGATAATAAGGTTCACAAGAATTTGTTCAAGGTAGGCCATCTAAAACAACCTGGAGGCCTTTAGAATGTCCCCTCCAAAACACAGTGGAGACGGTGTTTAAATACAACTGGTGCCTCTAAATTTTGCATGGAGAGGGAGTAGTTGAAGTTCCACTGAACAGCTTGAGCAGCTCAGGTAAATGGGATTTAAGTGGCAGTTCTAAGTCCCTCTCCCCAGGACAGGAGGGAGAGTGGCCAGCAATGCTCCTCTGTTTGACCGCTCATGCCTGACTTACTAGTCAGACTCTGAGAAACCTTTACGTATTGTGCCATCATCTCGTCCAAGATTCATTAAATCTGAGGGCACAGGTGGACAGCAGTTCAGATTCTTGTATGAGAAATTGGTACCATCGTCAAGCACACAAGTATATCATATATTAAACCAGAGCATGATATAAACATATTAGGGGAAAATATCAGGGCTGTGAGGTATCAAAAATCAGGTTATAAGGAGGTGTGCCATATGGCTTTTGACCCAAGAAGAGGAGCTTACCAAGGGGAAAAAAAAGGCACAAGTGTGGTCAAGCAGAAACTGATGATGGTGAATCGCCAGCCATCACAGGAGATGGCCTTGCTGCCCAGCAGCTGCCTTTTGAATTCTTGAGTTGATGCCCATGATGGCCCTTCAAATGCTCGCTGCAACTACCTAGGAATTATGGAAGAAGTAGTTCTGAAATCTGAGAAGTGGGATAAGGAAAACTTAGTGGTGCTGTTGTACCTGAAATGTTGTGGCCTAAACAAACTAGCAAGATGGTTGCGGAACTGAACATCAGATCAGATACAGTCTCTGCCCTGCTGCCCCCCTGAGTAAGGACAGTGCTGAGTAAGGACCTGCTGAGCCTCCCTTAGCGCCCTCTTTGTCCATAAGTACCATAAGGAAAGGTGTTTCCTAAGTGAAAGCTCATATGCTACTGGTGGAACAACTGCAGAAACTGAAAGGAGGAGCAAAATTCCTTGGTGGCATTGGAAACCTCCACAAAGACAGCCATCAGTACGGTTCTTCTATGGCCCAGGACTGGACGTAGCAGAAAAGGCATAAGTATTTTCACACTTTTCTCCATAGATTACACTGCCTGCAATGGAGAATTTTCACTTAAATTATTCTTGCTCTCTTGAATGTTAGGTTTCCTCATTTCTATTTATCCTTCTCCCTTGCCTGGTGTCATCGATGCAGATCAGTGCCAGCAGCCACCCAGCAAACAGCGGCCAGCCCGCTGGCCCGCAGGTCCACCAGGCTGTGTGTGAAGGAGCATTGGCAGTGCAGACGGTAGTGTCTTCCCCAGTCACCAGACTTTAATTTGGGCAGACTTGAACTCTTCACTCCCTGATATCCCAAATTGGCCTATTTTGCCATATCTCCCTTCCCCCAAACAAAGATAAAACCAATTTGGGGATTTCTGTGTCAAAGAGAGGGAAGAAATCCAAAAAAAATACAGCGTTTTATCCCCAAGCATCTAATCCAAATATCAAATATACAATTTTATAAAGTAGTTTAAATTTTCATTAGGAATTGTTTGGAAAAACTATGTGATAGATATGACCTTCATTTTTCTTTGATCCTGCCTGTTCTAATCAGAAAAAAAAATGCAAAGAAAGAAAGAGAAAGAAAAAAAAGTCCAAGAGCTGGAAGAGAAAATAAAAAACATTAGCAGATTTGCTAATCTACAAATAAATGTATTAGTTCCTAAATCACACAATAAAAATGGACATACTGTGAAACCCAGTGAGCTTATTTTTTAAAAAGCCACATACAAGAAGAAGTGGCACATTATAGTAGAAGTGTTAGACCATTAAAATTTTCTTTTTCTGGGTTTTCTTAAGAGCAGCTCATAAATTTGTGGAACATGCAGAAGACCATGATTGTCACATTTCACATATTAGGTATTGTACCTTTACGAACAGTACCTCTGCAGAGAGGGTTGAACAAAGACGTGAGCTTGTGTTCATGACAGTGATGACTTTGTCATCATAAAGAAATCTCCAGCACAAGAGAAGCCTGTGTATGTGGCCAAGCCAATAGCATCCAGTATTTGAAAAGTAGGAATCATTTTTAGCTGCTCTAAATGTAAGTAACTTGCTGAATATATTTCTACTTTCCATCTCTAGAGAGAGACAACCCAGCTGCTTGACACCTTCTCTGTCACTGGGGGAGAAGTCACTGAAAGAAAAGCACCTTCAAAACCAGGCCTCAGCGAATCTGGCTGTTTAGACTCAAATACCAGTATTTATCACTCTATTAGCAACTGGTCGCCATGGCACAGCTGTATGTGACCAAGAAGCCCATTTTGTCATTTTCACACATCCATCGGTTGTTGACACCTTGTTAGAAGCACTGAGTGTTAGCTTCACAATCTTCATTTCCCTCCCAAGGAGTGGGCAATCCCTCCTCCTGATCAGTGGGTGGGCCATGGTGAGTTCAAAAGAGTCTTAACATATTCAACTTGAAGCCAGTTCAGTAGTCTTGTTTGTTTTAAAACCTTCGGCAAGACTGTGATATAAACTTAGTGTTTAGGAAATGTGTGTGGTGGACAACTTACTCGGAAATGTAAAGAGGTTAAAACAGCAGCTAGCCCACTCTGTCTCTTAAGTCCCCCTGCAACTTCTGCCAACAAAGATTAGGGAAGCAAACCAGCCTCATTCAGTAGGTGGGCTGTCCTCCAATGGAGCTTATTGGATTCACTGCCCCTCTACTCCAGCCCCTCTCCCAACCTCCCTGGTGATAGTAACATGGCCTTTTCCTTCTCCTCCCTCCCTTCTCTGGTGTGATGATTCACTTTGATCAATAGCTCAAGTGAATTCCACTTTATTGCATATTACATCTATGAAGTACTTGTTCATGAATTATTTTGCTCCATTCTGTGGTCTGAAGAAGACTGATTTACCTCAATTTTTATATGAAAGGGGTATCTAAGGTCATTAATTTATTCTTCCTTCTTCTACATTCCATCTAGGTTTATATAATTTTTTATTTTTTTTTGATAAATCTTCCCTCAATACTAAGACTCTCTAGTCTGCCTCTTTTTCTAAGAGCTGGTCCAGATACTTCTGTGAACTATTTTTTAATGTTTTATGTGAATTTCCATAGCATGGGGCTAGCAAATGCAAATGAACCAATAGTTTCCAGAAATTCACCTCCAAGGAATTTGGCATTCTTCTCCATGGAGTAAACAACCTTCTACCAGACCTAGTCTGTTTTGTAGGCTGAACATTTCCTGAAATTCTACCTGTGCAGAGACTAAGAGCTCCCTATCTTTGAAACTATAAAATGTCTAAGAAGAGAATGAATATTTCTCCCCATATATATTATACTTACCATTATACTTAGCACATCAGATAAGAAATCAAGTGTTTTCAAGTGTGCATCATAGCAGTTTATCAACATCTCTGGCAAAGTTGTACCTCCTTTCCTATATTGTTCTCTTTCAGGGCTTACTCCCATTCTTGCCTCATGGAACAACTGTGTTTTTGTTTATTCATTCATTCAGTGTTCCAGAACATGAGGCTAGTCCCATCGAGCACTGAGTATATAGGGAAGTTACCCTCTACCTCCCTATGACGTGGATGATAGATGTGTTCAGGAATGAACAGCTTTCTGAGAACTCTTGGAATGAACTTTGAATTCCAGGTTTCTTTCTGTGAAGTATATAAAAATGGGCCCATAGTATACAAAAATTATACTACCCTTTCTAATAAGAGGCCAGAAGGAGATTCAAAAATCTTTATATGTTAGATAGACTTAAGGAAACTCTAAGTAGCTATTTTTTCCTTTCTTCTTGGCAGTTTGTCCCTAGCTATAATCTTGTTTCTTTGCTCCTGACCACCAAGACATAAAGAAGGTGGTCTTAGCCCACTGACCTTACATTCTGCATAATCCTCCAAAAACACCCATTTCCTTTGGAAACAAGTCCACGAGTGAGGGGAAGTCTCGCGGCAATTCTGCCTACCCAAGGTGACACACAGCACCTTGAGGTCTACCAGAGGAACAGGTCCATTCCAAGTCATTAACTTTATGATTCTGCAATTCTTCAATTTCTCCAAACACAAATAATACCACTCCACTGTTAGTAGAATGTATAATCTTCAAAGAACATAAGCATTTATAAAAGGACTTCTCTTTCAAAAAAACAATCTGAGAGACTCCTAAAATGGCAGAAACTTTTTAAAATTAGAAATTGAATAACTTTTAAGACTCTTTAGAGAGCACATGTCGTTGACTCGCTATAGTCTTTTCCTTCGTTGAGTTTTAATTGAGACTGCTGTGGGAAGCAGCGCGCTTCCCTGGAGTTGGAGTTAGGGAATCGTGCTTTGGCCTGGAACACCAATGCTAGCCTGCATGCCTAGAACCTAAGTGAAATCAGTTAGCATCTTAATAGGAATCAGGCCTAACAAATATAAATCATCCCAAGTCCTTTAAGGTCTCATTTTCTTAGTGACACCCTGGACCTTGGACATTGCTTTCCTAAAATGCATTGGATCCCTGCAGGTATGTGTCTTAATTCTGCCTCGTGAGATCGCAAGCCATGAGATGAGGGAGAACAGGTGACAGAGAAGAAGGAAAACCTGAACAAGGCCAAGGCTCACTGTTTGGCTAATACATTGCCTTGATAGGGAGCGGGTGATTTTTGACATCATTGTATCATGGACAGCCTCTCTGTGGAAACTCAAGGAATCTGTCTCAGGCAAATGGGAGTGCCCAGTATCTCTTATCGGTCAGTGCCTGACAACATGCTGGAAAAGCAGGTACCCTAACGAAACTGCGCTTGCTGAAATAGTGCCATTCAATTTCAGATTCATTCCCATAGGGCTGGCAGTCCAGGGACCTTCCTCTCTTCTCTGTGCTTGCCCAAAAGTCATTTTGGCATCTTGCTTCATTCATTTCCTCCTTTCTATACATCTACTTTGGCCTCCCCCTCCCTCACAGCCCACCCCTATTTTTTCTCACTTTACCATCTCTCCAGGACCCAGCTCTCTTTACCACCCTGCCTCACAGACAGCCGAGTGTCTCCCTGAGCCTGAACTCCCTCCTCTCACACCCTGTGCTCTATTTCCCAGGCCTTTGGACAGGGCGCTCCACTGTCGCCGAGCGAGACACACCGCTGTGACGGCCTCTTGTTAATGTCAGCATCACCTCATCACTTAGGCAAAGAGGGGAAAATCCATAAAAGAGATGGAAAATACATTTCTTTCTCATTTTATTCTGCTTTATTTTAGGAAGGTTGAGGGGAGGGTTATTCTCGTCTTTCTCGATTTCTCATAGATTTTATTTTAAAACTGTCTAACTGGCACCATTCTTTTGATAAATCAGTCCAGGTCACCAGCTGTGGTGCATAAGAATAAATTTTTGAAGCTCAAATAATTTTTCTGTGCCACAGGACACATTGACTTAAATTCTGGGCAAACATTTTCACTCATAGGCTTGTTATTGCCACTCCATTCTAACAACGACTCCTGATTCAAACATCTACATGAATCTGGATCAAGACGTTGACAATTTGTGGTTGTTTTCAGATTAACAGTCACTGTGAGATTCTTGAAAGGGGGTAAAGAGAAAGTATAAGCATGTCCCAAGCAGTCAAACATTGAACCTGGAAAAACAGTGGCCTTTCTGTTTAATTAAGTATGCTAAACCAATCTGTAGATGTCATCCTAAAGGACTTTCAGCAGCAAGGAAGACAGTTTGGAAGGGAGAAGGCACTTTAAAGACATGAAACCTTACATTCCATGGTCTTGGATATTTTTAATGTAATAAGCTAATTGGATTCAGGTATTTTTTCCTTTAAAATTTAAAAAAATATGTATTTCTAATTTGCATATTTAATTTTGTCAGTGCTGAAAATGCTCATTAGTTGAACTTGTAAATGTCATTTGCAACCAAATGAAGTATTTATTTTTAAAAAGAAAAGGTGAAGGAACCAATATTGACTGTACATAATGCAAATATATGTGTGCATGTATATATATATTTTTTTCCTCCGTGACACTACTTGGTTACCATATCAAGTGTATTTTTGTACATAGTATATATTGGTTAGAAAATGTAGATTGTCTACTCAAAGAATTCTATCTCTGTGATAGATTATATTTATTCTAATCTATTGATACCTCTGTTAATTTGTTTTAAGAGATAGAACTCTATTTTTTTTGGAATTTGCAGAGAACTGCATTCATGGCTTCCAACTGTAAATATGCTAAGGGTATTTTAATAAATCTTGGTTTCATGTCTGTCTGGTGTGCAGTGCAGATTTGTTTTCAGGAGGCATTTGGGGAAGTATTCCAACAGTACTCTAATATGGAGAAACCAGTCACTTCCAACTTTCATTGCTGCCCAAGCTTAGCATTACTACTGAACTGCAAGAGCTGAGTCTCAATAAGTCTGTCATTCACATTTCCTTCTTTCTGCCCTGTTTATCCCACTGGCAGTGGCCAACCTGCCTAGGCATTCAAGGCTAACACCGAACAGACACCCTCAGCCAGGCATTGTCTCAGCTAGGCTGACTCCAAAGCAACACTACCTGAACACATATTGCCCAAGATGGGGTGAGTGGGGGGAAAACCACAGGCATTGGTGACTTCAGGTTGTGGGTTGGTAAACAATATATTAGGGAAATAAAACAGAAATACAGTTAAATTATTTTCTAGCACTCAGCGCAAGGTACCAATTCTTTTTAAGCAATGATGACACCTGCAGGTATTTATGAACAAAAAGTTAAATACTTCCAACAGAATACACTTACGTTTAAATAGGTGCAATTATTTTGTAATTTATCCATTTGTTCAATGTTCCTGAATGTCATGCACTCTTGAGTTCTAGAAGTTTGCTGAAATAATGCCCCCAAGTGCATACTCGTTTAATGAACAGACATAATTATTATCCAGGGAAGCATTTTATCACTAAAAAAACTTCTGAATTATAGACTCATAGAAGTTCCAAAATCTTTAAACATTGAGTAAAGTCAATTTTATGAAGTAAAAATTACTGAAGTTCAAGGGACTTGCTGAAAGTCACACTTCATGTCAGTGAACACATCAAAACTAGGATCCAAGTCCTTTGACCCTAAGGCAAAGCCCTTCCCACTGCACAACTCATTCATCACAATAAGCTGTTCTCCTCTTCAAATACTGCTTTATGGAGAAATGTTGTAGAGTCGTTGATTGAAAATACGGGTCCTCATTCTCCTAAGGATTTGTGGAAACTATTATTAAGGTTCCATTCTAAATTAAAGCACCTAGGAGAGGTGGAGGCCTGTGTATCGTAAGGACATAGGGGGATATATCAGCCCACCTTAGAAAAACTCTCCTCTCTGGTTTAGCCAAGATTTACTCTCCTTTGCTGAGCATAGTGATACCTGTTGAATTTATAAATACACATTTTTGCCTATTCTTTAAATAGCCTGTGTATGCTTGTGGTTCAACTAACAGGCCATAAATTCCTGAGGCTATATATTCTACTTCAGACTCTAGCTGCCCACTTTTCCCCTGGCTGTGATATATTCATGGAAATAAAAAAAAAACTTTCAAGTTGGCCCACCTGCACTGGCCCTGCCTGCAGGGTTGCCTGTATTGCATAGATGCCCCCGAGTCGGTCTTCTCAAAGTAACATATGCTTCATGCCCATCATTGTGTGATAATGAATGGTAAGAGATGGTAACTATAATACTTGCCAGTTGCTGCATAACAAAATACCCCAAAGCTAAGTGGATTAAATCAACAACAGCCACTTCTTATTTCTCATGGTTTTTGTTAGTATAAGAATCAACAGAGCAGGTCTCATTTGGAGTCTCTTAAGGTTGCAGCAATGTGTCCGTTGGGTCTGTCATCCTCTGGAAACTGTAATGCTTGAATGGGGCTGGAGCATGGCTGACTCACTGGACTGTCAAGTTGGTGCTGCCTCAGGGCCGGGGCCTCAGCGCCTCTCCAACCGGACTGCTTGAGTGATCCAACGTGAAACGTGCTTTTCAACTGAGGCTGGAAATCATATACAGTCACTTTCATCATATTCTATTAATTAAAGAATTTAATAAGTTTCTCCCCAGTTGAAAGGGTGAAGACACAGTCCTCACCACTTGGTGAAGGAACATTCAATACCACTTTGTAAGAAGTGAGTATTACTAGGAGCAATATGGGTGCAACCGTCTTTTGATAATACAATCTGTCCCTGTAGTTTGCCTTGTTCCTTCTCTCTGGCCTTCCACTTTCTTCTCTTGTTCTTATTTTTGTTCTAAAAATAAATTTCAGATTTCTTTTTCAAAATATTTTCTACTTCCTTCTCCCAAATCTTTATTCCTTCTGCCTGCATATGAGAGCACAGAAATGTTTGTCTTGCTTCTCTGAATTTTGGACACTTAAAAATAGTCAAAATGTTTCCACTGTTTTATGTTATGTATATTTTCCATGATAAAAATGGTATATATGTATTAATGACTTTCTATATGCCAGGTGCCATAGTAAGCATTTTATATGCATTATGTCATTTAATCTTCCTTATAATACTATGAGGTAAACATCACCATCCCCATTTTACATATATGAAAACCGGTGCTTGGAACAGTTGGTAACTTTCTCATACAATTGGTAAGCAGAGAAACCAGAATTCAGACACTCCAAAGAGTCACTCTCAGCCACTGTCCTATCTCTACAGGCCACAGAATTGAAATTAGCTGATTCGGGCAAAAGGGGAGGGAGGACTTAGACAAAGATTATAAGGTTTTAAAACATGGTGTTCTCATAATTTCATTTTTGAGATATGGTAAAAAAAATTCTTCTTACAAGATGCTTTGTGTTCACACTTTACTGCCAATTCAAACCTTAGTGTACTTTTTGTCCAATATCTCAACCAAGAGTACTGGGGCCACCAGCACTTCTGTAGAAGCCAAAGAAACTAACAGAATAGAACTGTATAAGTATCCTCCAAAGAACAGCTAATACATACCTCCAAGAATGTTTCTTCTTCCATAGATGAGATTAAGAGGGTATAATACAAGGCAAAAAAAAAAAAAAAGGAGCCGGTGAAAACTATATGAGGAATACTGTAAGATTAAGAGAAGCAGCCATATGTATCTTTGAGTAGTTGTCCTGAATTAACCTCATAATAAATCAATCTGGAAATACATCTAACAGGGTAAAACAACATCCTGTCCACAGAAAATAATGTTTAAACAAAACTGGATCATGTAGTGTTAGAATTTTCCAGAATCTCCAACCAATGTTGTGTGGTATATTCATTGCTTGATTTGAGGTCAAACTGAGATCCAGTTGGACCTCATTTAGAATCATTTTGAAGATTTTTGCTGCTGAAATTAAATTCTTCTTTGGGGAGAATATTTTACTGTTAGTGGAAGAACCACAAATGAATAGATAGCTATATACTCAGTTTTTGTATGCTGCCCAGAATCAGAAGTAGAAGGAAAGAGAAAATTCCTTCAAGAAAGAAAATGCTTCCCTCATACTTCAAGTTCTAGGAGACATCAAGAGTTACCCAATTATCCAGTATTTTGCTTCATCTTGCAAGACTTCCAGCCTAGTTCCAAAGACCAGATGGCTTTGTTGTTGTTGTTTTTTTAAGAGATTTTATTTATTTTTTTAGAGAGAGAAAGGGAGAAAGAAAGGGAGAGAAACATCGATCAGTTGCCTCTTGCACACCCCCAACAAGGGACTGGCCCACAACACAGGCATGTGCCCTGACTGGGAGTCAAAACCATGACCTTTTGGTTCACAGGCTGATGCCAACACACCGAGCCACATCGGCCAGGGCAGTGTGATCACCCTTGAGAAACTGTTGAGAGTACTAATCTAGAAAGTTAGAGCACCTCTGCTCTTTAGCTTCTCATGGTTTGTGTGACCAGTAAGAGGACACTAACACCACCAAGCACTCTCCCAGTGGCCATCTTACAGCCTCTCCAAAGAGACACTTTCTGATATGAGTCCCTCTTCTCACTGGATCCCCACCTACAACCCAATGGTAACTTAAAGAAAGATAGTCTTCTAAAATACAATTTATTTTACATTGAACTTCACAATGTGGAAGGATTGTCCCATCTCCTCAACAAAGCCTCATCACTTTATTACCTGGTTTGCATGTGAGTTGACTCTCTCTGGCCCTTCTCATTCTTCTTAAGGTGACACATGCTTTCAGCTCTAGTTATCCAACAACAGTATATTATTTAAGTGGGCTTACTACATTGTAATTTTTCATATCTGTTTGGACTAGATGATTTTTAGGATCCCTGATTACTATGTGAGCAGCTATTATAGAAATCACCCTAAAAGCCCTTGTTTTCAAGGCATACAATATACCAAGGAGAGATACATCACCAATGGAAGTAGAAGGGCATTTACAGTCAGCACATATTAATATTTGAAACTGGGTCACTGAAGTTGAGAGCTGAAGATTGGTTCTTTAGAGGAGATGGGACAATCCTTTTCCAATGTGTCTCAAAGAATTTTTTAAAGATTTTATTTTTTAGAGAGAAGATAGGGAAGGGAGAAAGAGAGGAAGAGAAACATCGATGTACAAGAGAAACATCTATCAGTTGCCTCTTGCATACCCCCAACTGGGGACCCGGCCCGCAACCCAGGCATGGGCCCTGACCAGGAATCAAATCAGTGACCTTTTGGTTCACAATATTTTAATTACAAAAAGGGTTCTGGTATGGCAAAGAGAGAGCCTCTACCAGGTGGCAGAATGACCCATGTGAGAAGTAGGCAGTGTAGATAAAATCCCTGTACCCACAGTGGTAGGTACGTCATGAGATAAGACAGGCTGTCCTTCAGATGATAGGAACATGTGTGCACATACATACATCCGTACGTCACCTTTGGATCTAGTCTTTACTGAGGACAACTAGAGAAGCAAGATAATTTTTTAATATTTACTTGAAAGCCTTGGTAAAGTCTTGACAAGTAAATATTACTGAACTAAGATCTGAGAGAAGATTAAAAACCAGAGAGATAAAACTGGTATTTGGAATTGCTGTCCACTTGGGGGCTCTGAAAGAGATGGCTGAGGGGTTAGGCTCTGCTTTGGGCAGCTTTGATGTGCCAGGGGGACAAAAGGAGAGATCAGGGCTCACTATGTCTAAGTTGGATAAAATCCCCTGGTTTGGGGTTAATACAGTGGCTCTCAAATAAATACCAGGTGGCATTTGGCAACATCTGGAGAGATTTTATTGTCATAACTAGGGAGAGGTCCTATTAGCATCAGTGGGAAGAAGCCAAAATACTAC